AAAAGCTGCTGCTCCAGTAAACGGTGTTCCCCTCTGTCGCTTTGGTGGTGGTTCGTCTCCTGGTCCATCGTCGTCGCTGATGTCCATATCCGAGTCGCCTGGCGCGTCGAACGGTTGCTGCTGTGAGCTGGCATCGTGGAACTGCGTGACTCCGGTCCTCATGTTGCCGAGCGTCTCCTTGGCCTGCGTGAGGTTCTCCAGGAGAACACATCCTTGATCGCTAGCATTTGATGCGGCACAGCGTAGTAGGCTAGTGCCGTGCACGGTCCAGTAGATCCTCGGTCCGCTCTCGTCCTGCCTCATCTCCTTGAAGACCACGATTGCGGGTCCCTTCCACTTGTTCTTGATGAGCTTGTTGGTCTTGCCCTCTCTCCAGTAGTAGCACCGCTGGCCGATCATAAGTTCGTGCTTGATCGGCAACGTGACGTCGTAGTAGTGCACGTCGTAGTTTGGCCGAGGCGTCCGCCTTCATAAACGCTGATGCCGCCATTGACCTCCACTCAAGTAAATTCTTGAAGTCCTCGTCCTCCTTCATCTGGTACAGGGTCGCTGGTGAGAACTTGTCGCTGGAGTTGGTCATGGTAGTAGTCGGATCCATACCCCAAACCCACTGGCATGGTGAAAGCCCTTTGTGAAAGCCAACCGATTGACCTGATGTGGTACATAAATACAAGCCTCCGTGATCAAATCCTCCGTGATAGCCGTCCTGGCACCACGGTCGATAACATCTACACAATAAAGTTCCACTGCCTCTCGAACAACTTGATGCCGACGTTCCACCACTCCCAAACTGGAATGCGCCCCGCCTGCTGCAATAACGATCGAAATGCTACGCTGTTCTAAAAACTGTTTAAACCGATCTGAAGCAAAACATGAACCATCGTCTGTCCGCAATTCCCCCATGGGTCCAAATTGCCTGATCCAGCCACGCTCAACTGCCTTGATCAGCTACTCTGCCGTCTCGGTCTTGATGGTACGTAGTGCACAGTAACGCGTGGTCCCATCTATCATCGAAAGGACTGCGTCTTGCCGGTACTATTCTTGATCCAGAAGACGTCCGTTTAGATAATCTCATTGAATGTGGTGGCTTGCTTCGCTGACGCATTGGGTGCTTTTGGTGGACGTTGTCTGGCCATGCAGTGTTCACACCGATACTCCGATGCACACTGTAGGATGTTGTCCTGGGCGCCTGCCTGTTGAAGTAGACGATGTAGTACTGCTGGGTTGGGGTGTCCCATGTTCTGGTGAAGTCTCTTGACGTAGCGTAGTGCCTCCGTGCCGTACTGCTCTCGTAGGCGTGCGTGATGGTGAGCTTCACGACGAGTCTGAGTGCTCGGGTTTGGTACCCTCCTCCGATTGCGTTGAGCCCTCCGCTGCGTAGATGTCCACGATCTCCGGCTCGACCATGACTTGAGCCAACGTCGCCGCTAGGATGAACGGGTAGTCCTCGGCGGGTTTGGTGAGCTTTCGTCCTTCCAGTAGGTCGTGTCCATGTGATCGGTCGCATCGCTCGCTGAGTACTGCTGCCATGAGCTTTTTGGTCGTCTGAAGCGTCGTCGGCTTCTTGACCATGTTCGTGCTGCCATCGATCGCATGGCCGTACATGCACTGGTCGAACGTGCTGTTTTCGCCGTGTAGGCGGCTGAACGCCACGGTATGCCACGCCCTCGACGTAGCTGGATGTTCGATGTGAGCATGTCGCCCTCCTTGCTGCTGTATGCCATACACCTTGGCCACAAACTGTGGATGTACTCGATGATGCCATTCTCGTAGCTCGGTGAGGTACTCCTTCCAACCGGGGTGCTGGTGGATGTTGAGCTCCTGCATGTTGGACCAGGGTCCGCACATTGGTGACAGATAACCTCGTCAGGCTGCTCCTCCGTTAGCTTCTTGAGGAATGCCTTCTAATGATCCTCCTCTGCGAAATCCCAACCCGTTTTGAGCCCAAACGTTTCCACGCGTGCTGCTAGATCTCGCAGGGCTTGTGAACGTCTGGCTTCTCCAGCGTAGACTTCCATGTCGTCCGTCTCGTAGTACACCGTTGGTGAGTTACCCTCCTCATGGTCTGTAAGTACTGCTCGCTGGCATGCTTCACGGCTGAGTCGATCTTCTGAACGAAGTTGGTCGAAATCTGTTTGACACCGTCATCGGGGTCGTCGTCGGTGCTGAAGTGGACTTCGTCCGTCGTACCAGCGTGGCTCCGATAGCGTGGTGTCGACTGGCTCGATGGCTCTCGTATTGAAGCACAGATTACTACATGAGGAATGCTGCTGACACTGCCACTGCTTCATGTAGGCTTTGCAGCAACTGACTTGTGCTACGCGTCGGGAACAGCCTTCCGTGTGAGGTCGCCGTTGTGGTTGTTCCTGATGTTCGCCGTTCTCGCTGGAGTCCGCCAGGTAGGCGTTGTCCAGAAACTCTATGCCGCTCATGGTCTCGTTGCTGGGGTCCTGGAACTGCGCTGCATCGACGGGCTCGTACTCGAAATCGTTCGTGTGGTGACTCGTCTTCCCGTCCAACTCCTCTAGTAGGTCCACCGTGTAGTGTCCTTGAGCCTTGAGGTGATAGCGTTGCGGCCTCGAAATCGCCGCCGTTCCACGCAACTGTCTGCTTGGCGTAGTCGACCTGAGCTCCGAACACTTCCAGCAACGGCCTCGGGAATAGGATGGGCGTGCGTCCTGGTACCACGTAGATGTAGAGCGTGCCTGACTTCTGCTTGAAGCTGGCAGGTATTGTGCCACACCACTGCGCATATTCGATCTTGCCGTTACCGAGCCGAAAAGGCCGTCGGCATTTGTAGAATTTGAGGTCCTCGATGGGATAACCCTTCTGCCTGCAGTCCCTCACGTAGTCCTTGATCGTCTCTGAGCCGGACATGAGCGTCGTCGCTCCACAGTCCATGACTCCTTTGCTTGCTGGTATTGCGCTGGTGTTGGCCTTGCTATGATACTTGTCGTCCCAGTAGACCTCATCGACCATCAAGCTGTCGTCGGTGTGGACCCGCTTCTTGTTGGGTGGCTCGGGGCAGTCCCTAGCCCAGTGGCCGGGTTTGCCGCATCGTCGGCAGTTGGCCGATGGTGTTGATGTTGGTACTGGCTTCGTAGCTGCCCTTGCCCTTCATTGGGTCCGCTGCCGTATGTCGTGGTCTGCTGTATGCGCCTGGAGGTGATGATCCTTTTGGGCTGCCCTTTCTTCCTTTGGACTTGCCGCGTCCTTTGGTGCCTTTGCTGCTTGACCGGCCTCGTCCGTGTGAACCTCCTGTTGATGCTGCGGCCGAACGTGAGCTTCCGCCTACCATCGCCACTACCGGGTAGAAACCGCGTGCTAGCTTCAGGTCGTTGAACTATTTCCTGGCGTCCGCGTAGGCTGCGTAGACTTCGTCGTTATCGCCTGGGTCGAGCTCTTGAGCTGTGTTGGGGTCGCGCTGGTAGTAGCTCCCTTCGCAGTCGCACCAGGTCTCGTCATCCTCCGCCCAGTACGTCTGGTCGTAGTCGTCTGGCTCGTCCTCCGGCTCGCCAGTATAGAACTCCTCATCGTAGTGCTTTGCTGTGTCCTCGTCGACGAAATGCTGCTTCCTTGCGTGATTCGGCTCGAGTATGATACTCTCCTGCCCGAACGTTGTCTCCAACGCCTCAATAACCTTCTCCTGTGTGACATCCTTACCAACTACCGACATGATGACCGCCTTCTGGTCCGCGCTGTATCCTCCTCGTCGTAGCGTGAGCCAGCCTCGGACCTTCGCCGGTAGCTCGATGTCCTGCGTCCTGAGCTTGCGCTCTGCAGCGCGCACTCTTGAGATATAGGCGAACAGCGTCTCGCCCTTGTACCGCTTGAGCTTGAAGACGAACTCCTCAAAGTCGTCCGCGAGCTCCGTCCTGTCGTCTATCTTGAAACGATTCCGTAGTCTGGCCATGAGCTGTTTCGCCACGTTGGGCTTGATGAGCTCGTCTGCTGAGAGGTCCTCCACTTCGTCCCAAGCTTCGCCTGTGAGACCTGCGCTGAGCATGAGAGCTGCTTCGCCCTCCTTCTTCTCCAATGTGAGCTTCGCAATGAAAATCATCGCCCGCTTCTCGTATTCTTTCCATTTGCTGAGCGTGCCGTCGAACTGTGAAACTCCTCGCTCTGGTAACATGTCCGCCATCGGCTTGGACATCCTGCTGAACTGAAACTGCAAGGGGTTATCATCCGACGCGTGCTGCACGAAATCGAAACTGCCCTTGTTTATGAAACCGACTGTGAGGTCGTGTGTGTGGGCTGCCGAGAAACTGACTTGAAAATATCCTCTGAGATCTGCTGTGACATCTTCGAGATATGCTGGGAAATCGAAGCTGCTCACGGAGTTGGCGACCAGATCCGAAGAGAGGTCGCTGAGATAAGGAAGGTCGAAGCGTGAGCCTGGCTTACCAGGCTCCGCTACCAATACGAACTTATCAAGTCCCTATGGCAATACTAATGAGATGCCATAATCACATCTGATGAAATCTTAACACCGCTGGCGCGCTCGACTCAAGGGCCCTTACAGGGTTTGGGCCAACATATAACAGCACGCTCGCTATGCTACAGCCATGCTCTGCACAATAACACAAGATTACAGCGTATATCTCACATGGCCTAGTCCGCTGATCGAAGAAGTCGGTTGAGCTGGGCCGAGGAAGACGGGGAAGCGCATGGGATGGGAGGGAAAGTGCGGCGACGCGCAGGCAGCCCCCCCCTCTCGCCATGAGAAAGAAGATCACGACGGATAGTGTTTCGCCAATGCTAGGCGCCAGATCATCACACATCGACTGAGGATGAAGCGCCAGTCCCGGGGTCGGGGTCCAGAACTCTGGGGGGCCCCGGCGTGGACATAAACACGACGTCGGTGACTTTGACAAACATCGCAGGGAAGCACGATCCCACTCGGCAGAATGCCCGCCAGAGCCGAGGTGGAAACCGACGGAGGCCATGGAAACGCGCAGGAAAGCGCGACCCCAATCGGCAGCACGCCTGCCGGAGCCGAGGTGGAAGTCGACGGCGTTGACAGCATCTCCCAGACCAGAGCCTACTCTGCCGCGTCACGGCCAGCAAAAGCCGCAGAAGGCGCGCCCCCCCGGGCCTTTCCGCGCCCAATGGCGTTGCGCGTCGGACCGCTCCACTGCTGCGTACGCGGCCCGCTCCGCATCCCGTCGTCGCCACGTCTGGGTTCCCCACGGAATGGAGCACCCCCGCGGTGAGCCCACCGTTCCACTTGGGTCCCTCGGTTGAGATTTTTGTGCTCAGTCCGCGGAGCAAGGTGGCGCTGACGCTGGCGTTGTAGCTGCTGGTGATCGCGCCACCTTTTGCGGAACATTGTTCGCCCACAGGGCCGATGGCGGGCATTATCCTTGCGGGAGTTGGAACCAGCTCGAGGTTCAGAGTGTCACAAAGATTGCTCCCACGCTTTCATGTGTGTCTTTGTGCATGCTTGCGCCTGCTGGTCTGAGCACGCCTGCCTGGGCGATTTAGGGATGTGGAAGGCAGCTTCCAGGAAGGTGGCCTGACGCTTGTCCACGATGTTTCCATAAGGCTGGCTAGTTCAGGCTTCCCGTGTCAGCCTTATCTTTACCGTCGCCTTGCTTGCTTGCTCCTGTATTTTCACGTATGTATGGTATGCTGCACCAGCTCGCCCCGTGCACCCAGGGAGGATCGGAAAAAAGGAGGGGCAGTTTGCCACGAGCCCTTATTCGCACGTTGTAATGCACACTTGTGGTGGGTGGCTTGGTTTCGAACTGCACATTATTCGTCCAATCGCAGGAGGGCATTTCGGTAATAGCGCTGACATGCAACGTGATTGCGTGAACTTGTGTCTACACGTCCCACAGAGCCTGCCATCCGTCGCTATGACGTTCGCCATTGCGAGCATGTGTACGGCAAGAACACGAAGCTGCTATAGAGGAAAGCCCACAGATGTGGTCTGTGGTCGGCCGCTCGCGCTTGGGTCGGCACGGATTATGTCCTCACGCTGAGGACAGGGCTCGAGACACTTAAGGATCCACACGCACACATGGCTCGTCCTGCAACAGGCCTCGCCTTCGGCGCATCCTCGCCCTCGGCGGAAGTCGGCGGATGGTGGCGGACGCCAGAGAAAGTAAAGCGTCGGTGGACGCGCCAACAGAAGCCAGCGGAAGTAACATTGAGACGTCAATATTTCTGGATTCATGTTTTGGGTGTCAGCTACACAGGATGACGCACAACATCCAACGCAGGTAATTACACGCATTCATCGCTCTGAGGTCCAATAGCTGGCGTCGTTGTGTGTGTGAGTGTTTGAGCATGCTCGCGCCCGCTGGTCTGAACACGCCTGCGTGGATGTGCAACGGGCTATCGGCGTATGTGGAAAGCAGTGTCCAGGAAGGTGGCCCAACGCTTGCTCCCGATGTTCCAGAACGCTGCCTCGCTCAGGTTTCTCTCGTGTCAGCGTTATCTTTACCGTCTCCTCGATTGTAAAAAAGTATATACGTATGTGTGGTATGTTGCAATGGTTCACCCCGTGCAGCCAGAGAGGACCGCCGCCTTGCTTGCTCATGTGTTTTCTCGTATGTGTGGTATGTTGCGCCGGTTCGCCGCGTGCACCTAGGGAGGATCGAAAAAAAGGAGGGGCAGTTTGCCCCGAGCCCTATTCGCATGTCATTGTGCACACTTGTGGTGGGCGGTTTGCTCTTCAACGGCGCATTACTCGTGCAATCGTGAGATTCAATCTCGGTAATAGCGCCGACATGCAACATGATTACGTGAACCTTTGACTACAGGTCCCACAGTTCCGCCAAGCCGTCGCTATGACCCTCGCCACTGCGAGAAGTTGTACGGCGAGCACACGAAGCGGATAGAGAAGAGAGACCAGGAACGAGTTTGTTCAGTTTTGCCTCAGCTTGGCTTGCCCAAGTGGAGGGGCGCTGTTGTCTTCCCGTGCTGCAGTCAAAGATACTGCTGTGCTGCAGTCAAAAACAGGGTCGCACCGCGATTGTCCAGTGTCCTTGAGAGCTGCCAGCGCCGGCGAAGCCAGCTCGCCCGTGTTTAGGGCGACGAGTCTGAGGCATATAGTTTGACGTCGTCTTCTGGGCTCCTCGTGACTGAGTGGCACGCAGCAGACCACGCTTCGACCCAATGAGTGGCCAGAAGGGCGAAGTCAGGAGAGGGACGCGACACAGAACCCAGACATCCGACTATTCGCTTTTCCAATGCGCGGGCCCCACAGGCCTCGACCCCTTCGCTGGGGGTAGTTCGTCCTGGAACCATTTTGCATGCCCTGGGGCCTGATGAAGGTCACCGGAAGCCAAAACTGATTAAAAGCTCCGGGGTTGAATACGCTCAGGAGCGTTTGCTTAGCGTGTCGCGTCGCTGGTTCTGGGTTACCACGCTTCGGCGTGACACGCAGTCCACGTGCCAGTCCACAAGCACTAACGTCCCGAGCCCCACGGAACGGAGCGACACGCTATCCGCTTGCAGGGCGTAGCGTGTCGCCGGGGCCTTCGCCGCCTCTAAGCAAAAGTTCCTGATTGTACATCAGTCACCACCATCAATCCGCAAGAGGACTGGGTCTGGGAGGTCAGGAGAGGGCCCCCAGAGGTCGAAAACTACACACATCCGAATTGTTCTTTCAACAGGTTTCGGTCTCACGGGGCTGGCCCAGGAGTGCTGAGCACGAGCGCGTCGCGACTTTGTCGGCGACGCGCAGGAGTGACCCTTCGCCAGAGTGAGCCCCTGGTGCGGGCCCACAGCTCGGCATCGCATTTTTCCTCGGCGAGGACCCTCGAGGAGCATTTGAGGTCGTCTTGCGAAACAAGCCCGCGCGAGACCGAAACATGCACGGGGGACGGACGTCCGAACGATGGCGAGACCAGGCCCCCCCCCTCCGAAGCGCTGGCCTTCGCGCCTGGCAGGATGGCCGCCCGCGGGGCCCCTGACGCCGCGCACCAGAGGTCGCTCTTGCCCGGGGTCACTCTTTCTGGGCCTCCCAGATGCAGCTCGATACCCAGACCCCCTCGGGTCATGAAACAATCACGACGGGAGGTGTTTCGCTATTTTCGGCCTCTGGGAGCCCTTACCGGCCCTCGGGACCGCCAAACAACGACTCAGGATGAAAAACCGGTCCAGGGGAATGGGTCGAGACCTCCAGGGGTCGACGTTTTTTAAAAATCATGACGTCGGGGGTCTGGGTGTGGAGCGCGGTTTTCTCCACGCCGGCGTCGCCGATTTGTCGCCGTCGCACTGTCGACGCATCGACGATGCGGCGCGACGCTCCGACCCCTTCTGCTCGGACCCCGTCCGGGAGGCCTCTGCTCTGTCGTGCAGCCGGGTCTTGCAGGGCCAGCCCAGCAGTGTTGGGCCCGAGCGCTGCGCGACTCTGCCCAGCGCCTCGCGGGCCGTGCTACTCGGGCGTCGAGTATTGGGGGGAGGCGAAGGAAGGTTTACCTTTTTGTGCTCGAAAGGGACCCTACAAAAGGGGCACGAAAGGTGCACGCTTCTCCCCCCCCATTGATCGCCCCCCCAGTGATTCGACGGCGAGCCCAGGGGGAAGTGAGAAGGAGCGGGCCTTCTCAGAAGGCTCAGAAGTCCCCCGGCGTTCTGAGAAGTTTCCTAAGCCTGCCTGAAGACAAAAACTCTCAGAAGGCTCGAGGGCTTCTGAGGAGTCTCGCCACCTTCTGAGAAGGCCTTCCCCGTCTCACTTCCTCCTCTCGCTCGCCGCCGAGTAATGCACGCTCGAGCTGCGCTCCAGGCACCGCGCGGCCCTGGCGGCGCGCAGGATGTCTTCCTGCGTCCTGCGGCGCCCCTCGGGTCCACCGCGGCAGCGCGCTCTCCGCCCGCTCACCGGGCGGGTCGGGCGCTGCCGGGCTCAGCTCAGGGCGCGAGCTGCACGGTGCTCAGTGGCGACTCCATGTGCCGTTCTCGCTCCGACGTCGTTTTGCAGCAGACGGGGAGCGAAGACGGAGCGAGGGAGAACGAGAACAGAGCGAGAACGGACACACAGCGCTTAACTCGCGCCGTGGGCCCCAGACGTGCGCGTGCAGTGAGAAAAGCACGAGGAGGGCTTTTGGTTGTTTTCGGCCTCCGGGGGTCCCCGTCAGGCCCTGAGGCACTCAGAGAGCGACTCGGGATGGAAACCCGGCCCCATGGAAATTGGTCAGCACTTCTGGGGACCCCGCATTTAAAAGATCAAGTCGTTGAGTGTCTGGGACCAGGCCCAGTCCCCAACGGCCTCCAGAGCACGGGTCACGCGGCCCAGAGGGCCCCAGGGGTTCAAGATGGAGCGAAGTGCTGGGGGCACGTTGGACCAGGGACACCTTAAGATTGGGAGCGTTTGGTTAGCGTGTCGCGCCGCAGGTTCTGGCCCACTGCTCTTCGGCAAGACACGCTAACCACGTCCTGGTCCCCGAGCGTCAACGTTCCGAGCCTTTGAAGTATCCCGCCCCGCAGAGTGGAGCGACGCGCTGTATGCTTGCAGGGTATAGCGTGTCGCCGGGACCACCGCCGCGACACGCCAAGCAAACACTCTTCACCGTAGCAACCCCTGACCAGGGGCGGCATGGGGTGGCTTCCCGACTTTTTTGTGGGGTCACTGGAGGTCCCGACCCCTTTCCCGGGGCAAGTTTTTCATCCCGAGGCCCGGCGGGGGCCCCAAGAGGCCGAAAACGGCCAAAAACCTTCCGTCGCGATTTTTCCATGACTCGAGGGGTCTGGGTATGGCGTTTCGGAGGGGGCGTTGCCTTCGGCTCATCTCGCCCACCGGGACTTCCAGCGGCCTCCTGCGTCGCCGGGAGCGCCTCCGAGGGCCCGCCTGCAGTGGCGCGGCTGACCGGTGTGGTCTCCTCGCTGCGGACGTCCTGACGCCGCTGAGGGCCAGATTGTGGCGCTCCAGACCCAGACCCCCTCGGACCAGGGAAAATCGCGACGGGAGGTTTTTCACAATTTTCGGCCGCTGGGGGTCCTCGCCAGTCCCTGGAACCGTCCGAAGAAGGCTCAGGATGAAGTGTTCCAAGGGAATGGGCCGAAAACATGACGTCGGGGGTCTGGGAAGAGGCCTCTCGCCTTCGGCGCGCCTCTCGCTTCTGCGGAAGGGCGGCGGAAGGATAGTGGCGGCGGGTTCTCGGAAGGTCGGCGGAAGCTGGCAGAAGCAGACGCGGGGCGTTTACCTCTCAGGGCTGCCAGGTCTGCCGGAGTTGTGGGAAAAGAGAGTGGTCGGATCAAGGAGGGCTTCCTCCTGCTCCTTCTGCTCCTCCTCCTCCTCGCCCTTTTCTGCAGAGCATCATGGATACGCGACGGGGCGACGTACGGAGACCGCAATTATGGCGGCGATGATCACGGAATGCACTCTCAGGCAATTGAAGTGCTCCTGCATTGACAGTTCAAGGACATGACCAACGCTTTCCCATCGGTGGGGCTGGCAGTAGATGGAGCAGGCGGCAGCAGTACTGGTAAGAGAACGAGATCTACGACTGGCTCATGAACGAATACGGAGGGCGCAAGTGCTACTCCCAGCAGCTGACGGCATGCTCCACTTTAGGCCGACGGAAGGAGGCTTCATGGGGGACGACCCATTCATGGTGCACTGCTTCCCCCGTTCCTTTACCCACGCCATGGAGCCATGGACGACGCAGTGGCGTCAGCAGGACAACGCGGACATGCTGCTTGTGGTCAAGTGCCCGATCGCTCGACACGAAATTGATCTCAGTCTGCACCTGTACGCTGACGGCATCGACAATAAGACATTGCAGCACCCCCCCACGCGCAGAGAGTACGTCAAGTTGGACAAGCTGCGTAGCAAGCTGCAGGACTGTGACAATATCTTGGACGAACAACTGCTCAAGATCGGCCTGGCTCAAAACAACACCAAGCAGGTCAACACCATGGCGATCTATGGATTTGGAGGCACAGCGAGAAGGGATCTACGGCAACAGGAGCAACGCGAGAAGTGGGACGGACAGATAGTTGAACAGGCACGAGACATGGGCCCCATTCTCACACATATCCAGAGTTTTGGCATCGAGCTGGCGAAGCGGGTGCAGGCGGCCAAGGCGGTCTTTTACTCTACGGGGTCTTTCTGGAACACCAAGCGGGTGCCATGGAGGTGGAGGTCAACCGTGCTGATTGGACGAGTGGTCAATGCTGCGCTTACTGCTGTGGAGGCGTTCGTCCCTACGAGGAGGCAGTACGACACGCTCGACGGGGTGATTGCTCCCTTGGCGCGTATCGCTACGAGGGGCGCGGCAACGGGGAGGATGGCACGGTGCGGTCTCTCACGAACAGGGAGGTTTTGGCGCACGTGCAGAAACCTAGGTCTGAAGTCGAGCTGTGGGTGAGGAGGCTGAAGTGGCTGCAGCCGGCGGCCAAGGACAGGAACAACTGTGTCCAGTTCTTCGGGGCCCTTTTCGGCACCATCTGCGGCCAGCGGCAGAGCACGGTGGCTGAGGATGACTCCCTCTCTGTGCTGGCCCACCCTTGGGCAAAGCGGGCTCAGCAAGACGTTGACTCGCTCATTCGGGTCTCGGACGAGGCCCAGGCACTGCAAGAGCTCGCTGGTCCGCACATCGTGTTGGCTGAAAGACCTGCAAGTACGAGAAGACCTCTGCAGCATAGATATGAGCATTCTCGAAGCAAACGAGTGCAGAATCATCGTACCGCCCCCCACGTGCAGACCCTTGGCCCCGACGCAAAACGACGATGGGGAGGAGAAGGTTACGCACGAGGTGGAGGAGACGTTTATGTGCCAGGCGGAAGTAGATGGGATATCGTGTGGTCGAGTCTTTCATTCGAAACGGGCCCTTCGCACGCACGTTCGGCAAGTACACAACATCGTCAACAGGTGCTCCTTCTTTAACCCGGCCAACGTCTGCATCATGTGTG